CCGAAAATGAACATCAGGTTTAAAATTAGAATGTTTACAAAACATTAATGTAAGATCTAAAATCTAAAACAATAGGTAATATAGCTATGATTATCGTTATAACCATTTTTAGCAACATTTGGCAAGGTTACCATGTTATCCGGTCTCAAGGTTTTTCGTACATTAATTTAGACTAAATTTCACTGAAGTCTATCAAGTAATTTAATGACAGTTGACAAGGTCGTAACTAATAAAAAATATCATGGGATATTATTTTAAACAGTAATTGTATTACATGTACCGGTTTTTTTTTACATATAACTATAGAATGAATGTTATAGGTATTAGGTGAACAATTAATTTAAACATATTTTTGATTCAATAAAAACTGGTTAGCTGCTCGGTTATACTTTATCTAAGTATCTTTTGATTACCATTTTAATCACACGGCGTACTTCAAATGCTCTAAGCTCTATTATAATATCCTTCGGTAGCTCAATTGGTAAAGCGGTGGACTGTATTGTGTAAGCCCTATTATAATAAGATACGCAAAAATATTCTTTGTGTTTATATTAAATTCTCAGCCATTCACTTCATGGTTGAGGTAACCTATTTAGGGTACAGTTATTTATCCGGTCTCTAGTCTCATGTATTTGCGTCGCTCAAAGTTACGCGTTACCTTATTGTTTGGTATACGGGGTATATATTTAATCCATTGGTATTCAACTTTTTTTTCTAATACAACAGTTTAGGATGAATATAAATATTCATATAATTTTATAAACACGTTTAAAAAGCCAGAAAAAAAGACTGATACAGCTAATAGGTGTGCCATTAATTTCGGAGAGAAATTGGAAAGGATATACAGAATGATTTAATAAGCGTGCTCACCCCATTTTATTGGTTAAATTTTGCATATGTATATTAAAATTATACTGTTTGGAAATTTTCAGTGTAGTTAAAATCAATATTTTCGAATAATTAGATTTTTCACAATATTTTGGGAGCATCCTGTGGTGATACCTACTTTGGTTTTTTCAAATGAGAACCTATAATAAAAAAAATTCTATAAATAGACGAATTATTACTTTGAATAAATTTTGGTGCCAAAATGTTTGATTTCCGTCCATCTGTTGACGAGATATTCCTCCTTTAAGTGTAAGTAGGAGGAGTGTAGTGAAGTATCATTTATGGGGTGGCACGGCGCACGGCGTTATATTAGTGCTTTACTACTATCTCCTTACCTAAACTTAAAGGCAGAATATCTCGTCAACGGGTGGACGGAAATCAAACATTTTGACACCAATATTTATTTAAAGTAATACTCCGTCTATTTATGGATTTTTTTTTATTAAGGTTCTCATTTGAAAAACCAAAGTTGGTATCACCACAGGATACTACTTAAATGTTGTAAAAAATCTAAGAAATCGAAAATATCAGTTTTAACTACACTTGAAAAATCAGAATTTGAAAATATATGCAAAATTTAACCAAAAAAATGGGGGGAGCACGCTTAGTGAATCATCCTGTATAAGTTTTCTGTCCAAATTTAAAGTCTCTACGAATATATTTAACTAAAGTATAAAAATAAATCAAAATAATTAAAGTATTATTTTCGTACATTTTAAAATCTTTCTCCATTTTAGATTCTGAGCCGAGCGAGTAATGTATTGGTTTTACGATGATGTGTATTTTTTTTCTGTGGACAACTTTTCTACCAGCAACTTTGCTCTGATTTACAATGATGGCACTTTTTCTTAAAGAAAATCTGACTGGGGAGGTATATTTGATTTTCCCAAGTATTTTCTCCGAAAAAAAAAAATGGAAAAATTAGGTATAAAATTAAAAAAATATTACTCAAAAAAAATATAGTATGCATATAATATGTTCATGGTGCATTATTTTACCATGATATGACATATAATATATTATATTATACTATTGACAAAGCAACACTATCAACCAATTTCCTCTCAGAGTCATATTTTAGTTAGCAATGGTTAATCGTTGCTTATAGACAAAGGGGCGGATTTGAGGGGGAGACATAGCAATCAACCCCTCCCTTGGAATTTTTTTCTCATCTCCACCGGCAGCTTAGTGTTATACCTATATATCAAATGAATTCCAAATTGGAAGCCTGCAACTATTTTGACGTTTATAAATTTACGAAATTAATTTTGAATAAATACAATATCTGTGCATACAATTGATTTTTATCATATTATCTTATCATTTTAAATAATATTAGTAATATACTCTACTGTACCCAAATGACATATTTATCACGGTAAAAAAAAACATTAGTAACTGTGTACACTGGTAAAATTGGTAACCACCCTATTATAGGTATTCAATATTATCAATATCGCTACTCAACTATGTCGTTTACGGCATTTACACTGCTAACAATGCAAAAATCAACCATTTCTAATGAACTAGTCGCTTACACCTTTATATCATTGACAAAGCTGATTTTTCTGAATTTTTGGATATCAAAAAGTCAATTTGGCCAAAAGTGTCGCTTATGCCCTATTAAGGCTCGATATTATGTAGCTAACTAATAATCATATATTTTAATGTTTTAAATACATGCTATAAATACATTTCTTTTGTGCTTACCACTTTGTTTATTAGATTAAAAACATGGATGAAATCACGCATATGACAAAGTAGATTGACTGACTTGGCATTATTTAATGTACACAAGGATATAAATGTATTTGTTGAAAATATCATAGATGGATTTGCAATTGAAAAAAAAAGACATTAAAGTTGTTATTATAAGAAATTGTGTTTATTATTTATTATCAAAGGCACCACGAAGGGGGTTATCCCTGCAACTGATTTGAAAAACAAAAAAACAGCCTATGATTATTTTTATTATCTCAGGGGATATTGCAATGGGTATATAATCGTGGGAAACCATGTACATAATACATAACCTATCTACTTCTATCATGAAAGCGACATCCCGAACTAACAAAATAAGGGAACCTGGAGATTTATTTCATGGGCGCAATATCCATCATAAAATCTATAATACACAATATTACCGTTTATATTATAGGTAGGTATTATAACTTAGGATGGAGATATATTTGTTGCCCCTTTTTTTTAGTAACAATTATATTTTACATGACTAAATATTTCCAATTTAAATGTTTTAGTCCGAAAAATTTAATCCTAAACCTAGTCAATAGTTTAATTTGTCGGTACCTACATATTATATTGGTACCTTAATAAAATCTTAAATATGTCACTGAATATTCTATAATATATACTTTATAGCAGGATATGTTTTTTTTTGTTGTTCGTATATTTTACACTATAGAAACGATGTACTTGTAAAAGTCCAGAAGACTTTGGAACGTTCGCGATTGAGGAGTGACTTCTTGCAAACCCTACCCATAAATGAACGAGTAATAAGACGAGTTATCTTGTTTTTTTGTATCGCCTCCTTATATCTCTTCGTTCTAATTATTTATTATTTTGCATTTTTTAGCCCAGTTACATGTAATACACATTAAATTATATTAAGACGAATTACATATTCAATACAGGAGTAATATTCAGGGGAGAAAGGGGAGGGGGATGTATGATTGTAACTCTTAATTTTAAAAGACTCCCAATTGGTCCGCTGAAATAATATATCATTTTTTTTTTTTAGTTAAAATTAAATTATATTTTTATATTAACAGTATTTTACTGTCAATAAACAAAAATCGTGCTATCGAGTGATTAATTAAATAATAAATCAGACATACCTGATAACTATAGAACACAGATATAGATAAAGAACCATATGATGAAAAGTTGGATAACTTCGCTGTTGTAAGGTTAACGGACGCATTTAAAGAAATATTTGCAATTATTTCATTAATAAAATGACGTCGTAGGATACTGGGAACGGGTGCAGCCACTGTTATAGATAATTTAATGTACACCTGTAAGCAACGATAAACTATTGCTTATGAAAAAACTATTCTGAGAGGAGTCCACTTAATAGTGATGTATTTTCAACAATAAATACGTGATTCTATAATAAAATAATTAAATAGGCTTTATATATTTTCTTTAATAATATTTGTTTAATGTTGTACCGATTTTCTCAGTTTCTCTACGTTTACTTTTACTGAGAAAACACATGGGAAATTACCTTTTTAAAGTACCTTACTAGTAAAATGTATTTTTAGAAACATTGCTATCATTATAAGTTGAAGCAAAATTGCTGGTAGAAAAATTGTGCACAGAAAAAAAGAAGGACGTAATAGATTTTAAATAATACCTACATTTATTATATTTTCCTGTTTTTTTCCGGCTTTTCAAATTTGATGAGAAAAATCCTGAGAAAATTGAAAAATGACTTCTCCAAAGTACCTCCTCACACCGTTTTCTTTTCAAAAAAAGAAACTTTTTTCTCGACTCAGAATCTGGAGCTATTGGATTGGAGTAATAATATAGTTTATACAAGATTTTAGAAAATGGACTAATTGATGGACCTATTTGTGTGGAGCTTTTTAGTTTAATAAGAACATCGTATATATTATTAAAGGATACAAGGATATAGGTATGAAATTTAATCAGTGGTGTCACCGTTTTCGTATAGACATGCAGGTACATGATTCGTTTTACTATTCTGCGGTCGCCCGCGCGCTCGCGTTACCCCGCATACCATCTGTTCACTATCGGTCAGAGAGCTATAACCTCTCCCCCGCCCATCTACCCTTTGCTACGGTCAAATATTATCTATGTCAGCGGTTCTCAACCTTTTTATAGTCGCGTACCACCTACACCACTTGAAAATTTCTACGTACCACCTGACCATTTTTTTGCTTATTAATAATGTATACGTTTATGTTACATGTATAGAATTTTATTTTATTAGGAATTACAAAATGAGATAATATAAAATAAATATGTATATATAATAAACTATAAAGTAATTAATGCACAAAAAGAAATTAAATTAAATCAAATTAAATATGTAAAATTATTATAATTATTATGGTTTACTTTTTACTTCAATGAGACGATTGGTGTTGTTTTGAACGAACGATGACATCAATATCGGGCTCCAAATTGGTAACTTTAAGTCTTAAATCACTTTCTACGTTTAATCTACTTCTATATTTATTTTTTATGTACAATAAGTCAGAAAATGTTTTTTCGCACAGATATGTTGATACAAAAGGGATTAAAAACTGTAAAGCTTGTGTGGACAATGCCGAGTATTCTTTTTTCACGTCCAGCCAAAAATTAGTGATATTTTTGTTATTGAAAGCGGTTTTTAGGGTAGAGTCACTGGTTAAGTCAATAAATAATTCTTTTGCCAAAATGCCATCTGGAATATTCTTAATATAATCATCTACGAAAGGGTTTATGATCCATTTCATTTCTGAGTTATCCTCAGGGAAATATTGTAAAACATTGGATTTTAGTGATTGTAGGTGTTCCGAAATGTCTGTAATTATATTTGAATTTGGCTGAACTTCGTTATCGTTCCAAAATGTGTTAAGTGTCTCGAATGCTGAAAGATCATTCTTAGATACTTGCGAAATAAATAAATCCAACTTTCTCACAAATGCATTAACTTTATCACTAGTATAAAACATGTTTGTGTTTGATCCTTGCAGGCTTAAATTTAAAATATTTAAACGGTCAAATATGTCAGCCATGTAAGCTAGTCTTGACAGCCATTCGACATCACAAAACAATTTGGACTTTTCTTCATCAATATCAGTCAGAATTAATAAAACTTCTGACCTTAGCTCGAATAGTCTGGTGAGGACTTTTCCTCGTGAAAGCCACCTTACCTCTGTGTGGAGAAGAAGAGAGTTATGAGTACTGCCCATTTCGTTACATAATACTGTGAATAATCTTGAATTGAGAGGTCTGGCTTTGATTAGATTTACGATTTTGACAGCACTATCAAGAACTAATTTTATTCTTGTTGCAACTCCGGTCAGCCTTCCAGTCATTGCCCTTGCTCCATCAGAACAAAAACCCACACATTTACTCCACGGCAGATCTATTTCAATCAAATATTCATTAATGGTTGTAAAAATAATTTCTGATGTTGTGTGGGTTTGTAAAGGCTTACAAAACAAAAACTCTTCAATAATTTCATCATTGCGATCGAAACGTATGAATACAATTAATTGAGCCATGTTAGCAATATCAGTACTCTCAACAATTTGTAGAGCAAAGAAATTACAATCTTTCACATAAAGCAATATTTTTTCTTTTATATTCGACGACATGTCATCAATTCTTCTTTTGACTGTATCGTTTGAAAGTGACACTTTTTCTATCTCTTTTGCAGCCTTGTCTCCAAGAACACATCGCACGATTTCTTTTGCTGTTGGCAACACTAATGTTTCCCCAATTGTGTGTGGTTTTCCATCTTTAGCAATAATTAAACTTGCTAAATAAGATGCTTTAACGATATTTTCATTAAAGTTCGTAAAACTAGACATGCATTTCGATTCCTTTCGGAAAATAGTAACTTTTCTCTGAAAAAATTCAATAGGTTTATTTTCTGTTTCTGGATGCTTCGATAATTGGTGGCGCTTAAGTAGCGATGGCTTCATGCTTTGATTCGAAAGTGTTTCTTGACAAATTACACATTGAGGTAACGGAGTAGAATTCTCAGAACCAAATTTTACAACGAATCCAAATTGTAAGTAACTATCGTCATATTTACGATTCGCCTGTGTTTTCTGTTTTTTAGTATTTGAGCTTCCGCTTTCGAAAAATCTTTTCATTTTACTTAATTTTATATCACAAAAAAGTTAGAAAAAACTACATAAAAATGTAAAATTTTAATATAAAATAAACTTGATGCAAACAATTCGTATGACACTCGTGAATAAACTGAAAGAACTCACGAAACTAAGGTAAAAACGCATTATTGTGAATTAAGAATACGCTTTATCGGGTATATTTGATAAAGTTTATCGATTTATATTATATATATATAGAATATCGCTATCTTAATTGCTACGATTACAAACGACCTCCACACCATCAAATAAACCAAATAATATTTAATGATTCATTCCAAATTTTTTTATAAAGAGAAATTTTCTTCGCGTACCACCTATGAGCTTTTCGCGTACCACTAGTGGTACGCGTACCATAGGTTGAGAACCACTGATCTATGTATTAAAATATTATTTTATATTGATGGTACTCAAAGACAAAAGATTATTTATATTCTAACCTAACCTAACCTTTACGAAATATAATCGACGACGGCTACAACGGACCTATCGGTCCGAGAGCTCTGACTTCTCCCCGCCCGTCTACCCTCCGTTTCGAACAAATATTATATAAACAATAAAATAATAAATATCACATAAACGTCGAGCAATTTCCTATACATAGATTTTTGTCAACGACAATATAATTGTTATATCCGTTGGTAACGCGAGCGCGCAGGCTACCGTAGATTAGTAAAACGAAAAATCATGTACCTTTGTACCTGCATGTGTACACGATAACGGTGACACCACTGATTATATTTCATTGCTATTGAAAATACTTGTATCTTTTCTATGTACGGTGAGCATAAGTAATACTTATAAAACAATATTTTTAGAATCGATATCGGTACATAGTATGATAATTCTATCATCTATGTAAACAAATATACATAAAGACACTCTAATAATTATGTTGTATGAGTGATCAATGTGCCGTACGATGTACCGATACATAGTATTATAAACGATAAAATATTATAATTTTAATGGTTTTACATATAGGTACTCCAATAATTATGTTACCGATGTGTCGTACGATGAATCGTCTTAAACTTAAATAGTATTAAAAACGTTGATACAAAATATTGTTATCAAAGCCGGTGTATTATTCGTTTAAAAATACAGTGGTTGGTACTATTATTATCAACGAAAATATTATTTCTGGGGACGATCGTAGGTATGTATGTGTTTGTGCGTGTGCGTATGTGTGTGCACGTATGTGTATGGGTATATATGTGTGTGTGTGTGTGTGTGTATAATTAACAATCGTGTTGTTATTGTTAGTGTACCTGTTAGTCGATGATAGCAATGGTTATAACAATTGTATTGTCGTTGACAAAAATCTGACCTAACAGGAAGACAACGACGATTATGTAATATCTATGAAGATACGTATAATATTTTTGTATAGTTACTTATAACGATGTAGACGAAAAAGGTGTACGGGATAGTGTGTGCTGATACTACTACAAATAGTATAATACCTATAAAATAATAATCGCAGGTATATGACAACAATGTAGGTGTATAATAATCAAATAAGTATAGATAAGTCGAGTAAGTATTCGATAATGTGGAAAAAATATCTGGATAAATGGGGCTTGGTTAAAATAGGTCAAGTACGTGGTGCATGTAGAAAAAAAATATATTTTTGTAAAAAAGGGGTGGGGGAAAAATATACCATCTAAGTAACTGATGATAATGTAGCAAATAAAATTTTGAAAAAAAAAATATTGAAAAAAGGAGGTGGCGGAAAAATATATGTTTATGAAGAGGTGAACAATTCGGGCGGCCATGTATTAGGTATAGCACCTTGCACCAGGATGGGCGGCCATGTATTAGGTATAGCACCTTGCATCTGCACCTGCGGCTCGGCAGAATCTTTCTTTTTGTACTACTTACATATATATATATATATATATGAATTTTTTAGTTTAGACTTAAATCAAGCCGTCAATCATTTCTAAAATATTATTCATGGAATAATAAATGATTATATTCCTACACATGCCTATTACTCATCGAAACACAAAAAGTGGTTTAGCAAAGAATTAAAAATTCTCATTAAACAAAAAAAACCTCAATTAAACACAACAAAGTCCTCATATCTATTTGGCTGTTTTCTTGTACGTTTAGAACCTAATACAAATAATTAATAAAATAATAAAATTAAATAAATAAATAATAATTTAATTTACTTATATAAATATAACTTAAATTATTTTCCTGATGATACTAGTTACTAATTTTATATCAACTTTTTGAGTGATATGTTATTATCGTTTAAAAATATTTCAATTTGTTGCCATAATATTGAAAAATATTTATCAGATCTATTTTTTCAAAGGATATGATAACTCCATTTATCAAATTAGCTGTATTATCCAATGTTTCTTTTTATCTTTTAGACTCATTCAGTATAAACATATGAAATACAATTAATGCTTTTTCGATTGAGCTTAATATACCTATAATTGTTTCAAAAGTATTCAATACTTAATACAAATAATACATAGATATATTAAATTACACCTAAGCTTTATCATAAAGTATAATATATATTTATTTATTATTATATTCATAGGTATTTAAATAGTTTAACAAATGTTCATACCTATAGTTTGAGTAACATTTTTATCTGCTGACTTACTAATTTCAAATCATAATGCCTTAATTATTGTTTTAACATTTGTTTTTACAGCATTACATGTTTTATATCTACATAAACCATTCACATATCTTATGCATATTGATAACTGTTTTTCTTTATATGACCTAAATATAAAATATTTAATAAAAAATAACATTTTATTTAGGTATTGATATTGCTATTTAATTACCTACTTTATTAACCATTATTGCCACAATCCCTGTAAACTTTATTTTATTAATAATAGTTGTTTTAATATGTTCTACACAAATATCAATTAATTCATTTTGTACCATCCAGCTAGTGTGTGAAATTTGCTATAAAATGAATCAAACTTTGAATTACATTTGGCTATAAGCTTATATGCTTGAAATGCTTGAAATGCTTATAAGCATTCATCCTACTCATACAAGTTAAATTAATTGTTGTTATGAATGACTTTTTATTTTATCTGTAAGTTAAAAATAAAATTGTTTATTTGCATTAATTACTTTAGTATTAGGTTTATTCTACATGGTTACTTATCTTTTTCCAATTACGAAACCCAGTGACTATCCATGTATCCTCTTGATTTCCACTATCAGAAGCAAACAACCGGCAACAATAATAAAAAACAGCATCGAGGTGAAAACTATATTCAAGCTATGCATTATCTTTATAGCAATTACTAGAAAATCCTTTTTTTGAGTACCAATTAGCGTTTTAGGATATGCCTTATAATTAATAGATAAATGTTTAAAATAGAATACATTCAAATTAACATTTTTCAAAAAGCAAGTTATATCTTACCGTTAATATTGGTTTTTTTGGTCCACTCTCAATGTCATCTAAATCAAAAATATTGCCACTATTGGATTTTTCAGCAGGAACAATCTGAGATGTTATTGTTGTTTATTCTTTTATTTCAGTTTGATCAAGCTTCGACTCCAATTTTATATTTATATTCAATTTATTTACATCAGCAGATGATTTTGTTTTCGATTTTTTAATATTAGAAATACGAAAAACTTTTTTGTCAGACATAATTAATTCTCTTGTAAAATAACTACATCCAAGATAGTTTAAAAAAAAAGAAGACCTAGGATAATGGGAACAGGTACAGCCACTATTAAAGATAATTAAATGTATGCCTGTAAGTAAAGATAAACCATTGCCTACGAAAAAATGATTCTGAGCGGAATTCAGTTGATAGTGATTCTTTGTCAACAATATATAAGTCATTTTATAATAAAATAACTAAATAGGCTTTATATATTTTCTTTAATAATATTTGTTTAATATTGTACCGACTTTTCCGTTTTTCTACATTTTCTTTGTTTTTCCATATTTTATCCTCGTTTTTAACATTTGCTGGGAAAACTCCCGAGAAAATCGAAAAATGACCATTGTAAAGTACTTCCTTACGCCCATTTTCTTTCAAAATAGGTGCTACACTTAGAAATCTGAGAAAGTCTTTTGGTAGAAAAGTTGTGCACAAATAAAAAAAAAACATCTTTGTAAAATCATAAGCTTCTTTGCTCCATTCAGAATCTAAAATTAATCCTGAATTAATCTTCTGCAATAGACTGTTTTTTATTTTCATTAGATATATATTGGTCACTTGTAGATCTATTGACAACATAATTTTTTAAAGTATTTGGTCGTATTCTTTTTTTTTTTTTGATCCTATATAGCAGTAAGCATAATACTGAAATATTAACCTATTTTATTATCTGTACCTATATCAAATATGCTGCGATGCTGCAGTATAAGTAAGTGTAATTAACAACTTTTTCAAATAAAAAAAAACACTAGTGAGAACAGTATTCAGTATTTTCTGATTTTATTTTACAATTTTAATTTCTGGTACCTATAGTTTTGAATAAAAAAATAAACTAATGTTTCAATACAATAGTTTGTATTTTGTAAACATCTTTTCATTTATATACCTATTAGTTTTATTTTCTGATTCTTTAATACGTACTTTATTTTATCTTACCATGCTTATATTAATGAAATAGTTCATTTTATTCTGGTCTGGATAAATTATTTTTGATTTTAATAAATATTTAACTAATTATTAGGTACAACTTATTTTGCTACATACTCATAGGTGCAATTTCAGTTTTTAACTTGGAGGGGCTCAATGTTTTTAAATGAAACAGATTCACATCTGCCCCCCACACCCCCCATTCAAATACCAAAATCATAGTTATCTCACCAATTTTCCTGCATAAATTATGGATCCATTAATAAAACTAAGAATATTTATATTAAAATTGAAAATTTGAAACACTTTATTTTTATCCATTATAACTAAGGGTTTTTAATAATAGCAGAACGACACTTCGAAATAAGTATATTACAAAAA